TTTGGATGGCTAATGTGTTAAATGTCCCAGATAGATATTTGCTTAAATCTACTGTATCAATTTGTAGTCGTTTGTTCAAGTTGCGGACAATAATAGTTGTGACCTGTTGGTTGGTTAGAGAGACCAACTTGGATTGTGGACTCCGCTGCAGGTGGTCACTATAGGTGGTCAACATTGGCTTCATGAACTCGGTCTTCTTTCAAGTTTTTGCATTTTCAGGGAATTTCAATTGACTTTTTTGTATTTAAAGTTTGATAAAACGTCACAAAAGAGAAAATATTATCTTTTCATTTAATTTTTAAACCATCTATTTCCGTCCACCAGCTGTGTAACATGCGTCTCATTACAGATTACTCCACCAAATTGCTTTAGCAACTCAATTTGGCTTGACTTAATCAGCATTTTACTTTTTAATAGGACCAATCTATTATCTCTCGAATAGCTTGAATAATTCGGCCAAGATAATTCTATATTTTAATCGCCCCATAATGTCAAAAAAGGTTGCCGGTAAAAATTTATTTGCTTTTTGTGCACAGGACGTCAAGTTCTTTCAAATGGTATGTAAATTTTTTTTCAAAAACGGCTTATTAAAAATTCGAAAACTGCTTGGAAAAAGCAAACTGGACTTTTGAACTTAGTTTGTCTTAGTATGTCCTGTGAGATCGCCGGAAGAAATTGAGAGTTTCACACTTGCCAATGATCCTGTAGAGTTTAAACATGTAGATGAAAATGGTGCTGTAGTTCTAACAGAAGTATTTCCCCGTGGACCAGTGGCTTTCTTCGCTTGCCATTCAAGACAACTTTGCTTGAATTCTGAGTTGTGCAGAATTGCTTGGTGGATCCACTTCGTTTTCAAAGTTGATAGAATGGTCCGAGAAACTCTGTTCTGATGATCCCCTTTCGAGTGAGCAAGACTAGGCCAAATGCTTGAAAAAAATCACAGCAAGGAAATTTTGGTTAGATCCCGCTCAATTTTACCTCTCATAGTTTTTTAATGTCCCATAGAACGATTTGCCAACCTGTTTTCCTTGTCAAAGAAAAATGCTCGAAAACTTAGCTATTTTAAATCAGCAATTCAGTTTTTAGATCAGCAGTGACCATAGAATGTACGAAACCGCGGCAAACCGCAAAAGAGTACACAAACAATTTAAAAAAAAAAACGAATAATTTCAGACTAGCAAAAGCAAAAAATATCAATTCAAGTCGACAAGGCAATAGCTGTACCCTAGTTTAAAAAATTCAAAAAAGTCTAACCAAACATTGTCATAAAAACTCACTATTGGTTTGAACGAAAAATTTAGCCATCTCTAATTTTTCAGTTACTTTTTCTAAACAAAGGGAACAAAAACATTAGCCAAAGATAAATAAATAATCTGTAAAATCAGAGTCGAAATCAGTAAAAAATTACAAGCATCTGTGCAGCAGCCCTGAACCCTCTGAAAGCCTTTATACGTCAATGGAATGTTTTGTTATAAAAGTTATTTGGAAATTGTTTTCAATAATGAAAAAAAAAAATGTCAGCAAACTAATACAATTAACAAGAAAAGTGCGGCGGAGGGGAGTGTTCAAGTTGTGTTTCAATTGAAACGACCCAAAATTAATTCATTAAAACGATAAATTTAAGGCCACAATATCTTGGGCCGAGGAATTTTTGAAAGCGAAACAAAAAAATCAAAGAAGAAAATACGAAGTAAAATTACGACCTGTAGAAGTAAATCAAACACTAAAACGTGCAGAAAAAAATGGTTTCAAGATGTGACAACTAAGCCGACATCAGATAAGCAGACAAAAACTGCGCGACAATTTTATTTGAAACAGAACATTTTACTTTGAAAAAAAAAACGAGTTTTTGTCAAGTTCGAACCCAGGAACTTTGCCGTCCCAGGCATATTCTTTACCTCCAAGCTAAGTTGGCTGGGAAAGCTTAGAAAATTGAATTCAACATCAGCCAAGATACAAGTGATTCTGTCAACTAGTTGTTAAACAACCCGAAAAAGTTTACATGCCAGTTTGATAACGCTTGTTAGTCGCAAGCGCAATGAAATTGTTTTTTCTGAGCTAAAACTACAATATAAACATGTCAACTCATTTGCTTCAATCAAAGTATAACAGAAAAAAAACGTGGAAAACGTTCTTTCTTTGCGATTATTGGTTTTTTTCATCGTTTCGAAATGACCCCTTTTGACTGAGCAAGACTGGGCCAAATATTTGAAAAACAAATCGCATCATAAAATCTTTGGTTAGATCCCGCTCAAGTTTTGCTCTCATTATTCTTTTAATGTCACATGGAACATTTTGCCAAAAGATTTTTGCATCAGAGAAAGATGTTCAAAAAAAGCTAATCAGCATTTCAGTTTTTAGATCAGCAGTGAGCACAAAATGTCATGGAAACTCGGCAAATAGCAAAAAAGTACACGATAAATTTAAAAAAGAAACGAATAATTCCAGACTAGGGAAAGCAAAAATATCAATTAAAGTCGACAAGGCAATGCTTTCAAAAACTATGAAAAGTCAAAGCGAACCTTGTCATAAAAATTCACAATTGGTTTGAACGGAAGTTTTAGCTATCTCTACTTTTTCAATTACTTTCTCCAAAAATGTGAACAATAATATTAGCCAGAATTAATTAAATATTCCGGAAAAAAAACAATTTCAAAACAGTAAAAATTACAATCATTTGAGCAAAAGCCCTGAATTCTCTAATAGCTCCTAAAATTCAATGGAATGTTCGTTGTCAAATGTTTTTTTTTTGCGGTTTTATGTTATCTCTTAAAAAACCTAGTGAACTGATATAAAAACTGTCTGGCTTAGATACGTCTGAAATGGTTTTTATTTGTCGCTTACGCTACAGTAGGGCAAATTTTTTTTCGCGTTTAATATCTCAAATTAGTGACATTGGTAGTTTTTTAAACCTCATAACTCCTAAAAAATGATCACGGAAAAATCTGTTTTAGTGTTGAGCTCAAGTCGTCAAAAACTTCGAACTGCTCAAAAAATACCCCAAAAATGCTTGTCAAAAAATCAATAAGTGGGATTGGGTAATTTCAGTTAGACAAGTTTTATGCGTAAAAATTACAGCAGATCTAGTTGTTTTCCTAAAATCCCTCATTCGCAACTCCTATAAATTCCCATGTAAAAAGCAACTCCCACCATATGCTAACAAAAGTTAATAAAATTTACGTTAAAATTTCACCAAGAATGTTGAACACAGCAGAAAATCAGAGGGATAAAAAAGGCGGAGGCAGAGAGAAATTGAAATTGGGTAAAAATTCACATAGAAATGTATGTTGATATGTATAAAAACCGAGCACACCAGAAAACAGCTGCTACATGCAAAACGAGAAGCTACCGCATTTGTTAGTTTGAAATGAAAAGTAGATATTAATTTAACTAGAAGAAATATTCCAAATGCGCATGCTATGCAGCCCACAAGCAAATCGTTTTGACCCCCTCTCCCAGTTATACGATTTTTCCTCAATACAATACGCGCTGCAATTTACACAGCGGTTTGAGAATAAAAAAAGACTTACTCAATAGGCCAGTTGAATATATACAGGACTCTAGACCTAGTTTATATTTATTTTCTGCCTTTTAAAAGGAAAAATGTATGACCTAAAAGCTTTTTCAAATCAAATGTCTTATAGTTTCGACTTTCAAAGAAAGTTCTGGGATATTTGTGCTCGGGTGGTTTTTTTCTCCATACAAGTTTCGACTTTTTAACTAGCAATTTTTGAAGATTTCTTGTCCTATGCTAAAATACAAAATACAGAGGCCAAGACGAGCTTCGTACCACTTGCTATACAATGCAAAACAACCGCTAATTCGAAAAATGTCAAAAATGCCGAAAATTATCATAAAACTAGTTTTCAACAAAACACCATGATAATAAAGCACCCCATCCTCTTCACAACACACACACGCACACAAAAACTTTATTAGCTCATCAAATGACGCAATTTGAGGCCAATGAGCCCATATTATACAGCCCGAAACTTATTAAACCAAGAAAAAAAATGAAATTTTAAAAAGACTTAGAAGCTAATAAAAATGTTGCTGAAGCCCCATCCCTTTTTCAACACAAACACGCAAACAAAAAATTATTTTCGCTCACTAAACGACGCAATATGCGGCCAATAAGCCGAAGTAATATAGAACGAAACTTATTTAACCAAGAAAAAAACCTTAAGATAAAATAAAAAAAACAAGTTGGTAAAACTACAACCAGTCTAAAAAAGCAATGTTCAAATAGGACGTATATTCAAAAAGCTAACATGCTCAAAATATGTCTATTGTATTTTCCAAGAGAGGCGACTGCTGCAGTTCATAGAGCAACGTGCTGAAAATGGAGATCTCACAATTGGAGATCATCCTGTGGATAAAGTTGTTTGCAGAGAAAAAACTATTGTACCCGATTGCAATTCCTTTATTTATCGCAAGGGTAAAAATATTTCATCTGTGATTTTTTTTAAAAAAAGTATGGGGGTGAAAAGATTGCCAATTTGACCAATCTGGGACAATTATTGCGTGATATGTTTGGCGCCATTAACACGTAAGCGGAGATTTAATCCGTCTCAGAAATAGTTCCAAACTGGATTGAGCCATGCTGTTTCCTATATTTGATACTTTGCTATATGTAATCTATACCACTTTGCACTTGACATAGCGTGTGGGGGATGCATATTATGTGAGTTGTATCGCTGAAAAGAGGCCTCGTAATATTCCACAGGACAGACGGTCGAAGGAAGAGAAACCAATACTAAACCACCGATATGAAAGTACTAGCTCTCCAATGTGTATTCGGTTTAATCATTATCAAGTCAACTGAAGCTGGCGCCACGTAATTTCAAGACTATCATCCCAACATTTAGTGTAACTTATAGTAAATGTGAAGAATTTAAATTTATTTTCTACATTACCTTTGATGAGTGCCACTAGTTCATGTCGTCAGTGCGTTAAGCACTGTCAGCCTTAGCCTTCAGGGCAACCGAGTCATTTAAAAGTAAGCCCATAAAATTCAATTTCAAAATATTATTTGATTAAATATCAATGATCACAGTAAGCATACATGAGTAAGGAGGATGAAAATAAATGGGTCCATCCATTCTTTTTAATCTATTAATCGGGAGCTCCATTAAGTACATCACTTTACGCTACGCTCAGTTCACTGTTCCTGTCATTAAAAAGGGGGACAGTTCTCTTCTCCGGCTGTGCTTAATGTTTCATCGTCGTGGGCCTTCTTCATGTGGAAATCCTTGTCTTTGTGGGCCACAATTTGAGAACAAATCTGACAAGATGTAATTTTGTCGTCCAGACAGTTTTCCCTCGGTGGTTTCTGTCTATCAAATGAAGCCAGTAACTTCCTCTGGCAAGATATGTTGGGCAACAGACAGAGCACTTCAATGAATACAAGATAGAAATTGTCTCCCAAGTTATAGCGACAGAAATTCACGACAGCATTCGCACTGCCTTGGTTCCTGGAAAAGCTCTTGGTAATTTTGAGGAAGTCGTGATAGAGTTTTTCGTCTCCTGTCGTCCTGTTGACCAACAGCTGGTGAATCATTGCGTTTAGTTTTCGGTTTCTGATGTCGAAGTCCTCGGGGTAAAAATATTCGTAATCTTTCTGAGCCCTTTTCTTCTCATCAGACTTCACTCCGTTTTTTGATGAGTCACTCTTTTTGTCTCTATAATTACATTAAAATTATACAATCGGCGAAACTACCCATACCCAACAGTACATACGCTCACATAAGATGGTTATTTTGAGCAAGTTCATCTCTTTCTGTTACAGAAAGTGTCCTATGATTTCAGGGAATTATCATCAAGCATTAAAATGTTTGATCGTCGAAATGATGAAACGAGAGCCACTAATTAGAAAAAATAGCTTGAAAAAACTAAAAATAACTAGATTAAATAAATGCTTCTACGCTTGTCTGGAATGATGTTCAAATTGAAGAAAACATGACGAGAAAGTCAACTTGCAGCGTTAAAATAAACTTTAACAAAATCTACATGGCTGTGACTTATGCTCGCTAATCTCCAAAAAACTGTTCCAAATCCGTAAATTAGTAAGAGATATTTCTCGGCAAATAACTCGGTCAATAAAATAATTTCGGCATTTTTCTATTGATCAGAACATCATATAACATTTTTTTCATCTGTCCGTTTTTGGTACAAAACGGCGCAAGCTAGCCACAAGAACCGGTCGGTAATGTCCTTGAGACAAATTGCTCTTTTTGGCGGTCAACCTTAATCAAGGCTGAACCGAATTAGAACCAAAAAACAGTAAAAAAACGGTCAAATGGGGCTATAGCCCCTCGGGTCTACATGTTTTAAGGTCTGCATATGGGGGGACTCGAACCCGGTTGACCGGCGTGAGAGACTTGTCTCTAGGCCGCTCGGCCAACTGTGCTTATTGTTGTTACATTTTAGTTCAGTTTTATATGCATCTATACTCTACATTCTATACTCTACATTTGCATTGCAACATCCTCCCCCCCTGAAGAAGGAAGAACCGGAGCGAGCTTAACGGTCGGCCGCGTGACTTCACGGGTTGCGGTCCTGACAAGGGCGGATCGGGCGCAACCGTCCTGTCCGTAGTTTAGCTTGACGATTCGGGCGAGAGGGTAGTACCCACGCGGACTATCGGGCTCAATCACCCACACGAGATCGCCTGTTTTAAGAGTAAAGTCAGAATGAGTGTGCCACTTGACACGCTTATTCAGCGAGGGAACATATTCTCGAAGCCAACGAGACCAAATCGCGTTAGCATATGACTGCGCTCGCACGTACCTTTTCTTGTGATCGAAGTGCTCCCCGGGTAAAAGCGAAGGAAAGCTTGTGGCATGTTGTCCAAGCAAAAAATGGTTTGGGGTTAACGCTTCTAACTCACGTGAATCGGTACTAACGGGAGTGATTGGCCTCGAATTCAAAGCCTGTTCAACTAAGCAGAGTGTTGTTCCTAACACCTCTTCAGTGACTCGCCTACTGCCTAGGATATCGTACAGCACGCGCTTCACGCTTCGGACGAGGCGTTCCCAGGAGCCGCCATGATGGGGTGCGCCTGGCGGGTTAAACTTCCAAGTAACACCTTTGTGTGCAAAAATGGTCGGAGCCATGCCATTCCAGCTCTTGATGCAGGCAAGTAATTCCTTTTCCGCACCAACGAAGTTCGTGCCATTATCCGACCAGATTGTGCTTGGCGTACCACGGCGCGCAACGAACCGTTCAATGCCCATGACACACGAACTGGTGTCCAGAGACGGTACAATCTCAAGGTGTACAGCCCTGGTAGTGAGGCAAGTAAAAAGAAATCCCCATCTTTTTTCCGTGCTTCTGCGAACCGGAACGTAAAGCGGTCCAAAGTAATCCACACCCGTATGATTGAAGGGTGGTTGCTTGTATCCGAGACGTTCGACCGGTAAATCGGACATAATTGGCTGGATGGTGCTTGCTTTGCGTTTACGGCATGTCACACATTGATTTTCGACAGACCGAAGTAGTCGACGCAACCCAAGTATTGCAAATTTCATATTTAAAACGGAGCGCATGTAATCTAATCCTTGATGAAAATGCTTATGGTGGAGGCTGCGGGCCAACAAGCGAACTAAGGTATGTCGGGCGTCGAGTATTATTGGGTGCTTAGTATCAAACTCGGTATCCACTAAGCGCACAATCCGTCCGGTGGAACGAATGATTCCAGCGGGACCGATAAATGGCGAGTATGTGGCAATTTTACTACTATTCTTAATAGGTTTGCCAGCGGTGAGTGTTTTTAACTCAACGGGAAAGGATTCCATCTGAGCAAGATGAATCAGTTTGCTTTCTGCAATATCAAGTTCAGTGGGGTCGGTGATTCGTAAGTCTTTACCACGAAAATGCTTATGTGAAGGCAACACCCTCAACATAAAAGCGACTACTCGTTTATATCTTGTAAAGGAACTGAACCTTTCCCAATTGAACCCGTGTTCGGGATGTTTGATTGATGTGACATCGGTGACGAAGGAAGATGATGTCTCCAAGCAATTATCAACATCACAAGAAGGACCCTTCAAACGAATTTTATTGATTACACGTTCGTCGGGTAAAAACGGCCAATCAGTAGTCCTGAGAATGCTCGGACCAATAACCCAGCTGCTATCCTTGAGGGCTTCCGAAGAAATCCCCCGCGTACCGGTATCAGCTGGATTATCGCCGCTCAGAACATGGTGCCACTCATCAATAGTGGTCGACTCGAGGATTTCGCCGACACGATTAGCGACGAATACAGGTAATTTTTCAGTGGAGTTTAGCCACTGCAAAACTGTTGTACTATCTGTCCACATAAAGACATGATTAATAGAGACGGTAAGGGCGGTCAGTATATCATCTTTTAGTCGTGTGGCGAGCAGAGCAGCTTGAAGCTCTAGCTTCGGTATAGATAGCGCTTTCATGGGCGCAACGCGAGCTTTACCAAAGATGAAGGATATTTGAGTTTTATGCGAGCTCGCGAGTCGCGCACGCAAAAATCCAACAGCACAGAAAACATCCTGCGAGCTATCACCGAACATGTGGAGCTCAATTTGATCAACAGGCTCTGTGAAGTAACAACGGGGAATAGTCAATTGCCCTAAGAGAGGGAGACCGGAGTGCCACTCGAGAAACTTATCTCTTATGTCTTCTGGCAATTCGTCGTCCCAACTTTGACCACTGATTTTCCAAATATCTTTCAGTAAAAGACGGGCCCTAACTGTGTATGGAGCTACTAACCCAACAGGGTCAAACACAGAAGAGACGAAACTCAAGACGGTTCGTTGAGTTATTGCTTTATCGAGAGGACGATCCACGCCTCTGCTAACAACCAAAGTGTCTTTCACATGGTCCCACTTAAGACCTAAGACGTGTGAAGATTGTTCGGCACCGTTACAAATTTCCTTAATGGGTGAAGATGAGGATTCGGATTCCTCGGGGTTCATTGCTGAAGTGATTTCATCAGCATTACTGACAAATTTAGTCAAATTAAATCCTCCCAATTTTAGTAAGGAAACCAAATCGCGACTAGTTTTAATTGCTTGGGTAACGTTCTCGAATGAATCCAAGTAATCGTCCATGTAAAATTTTTCATTTACGACTGAGGCGGCCTCAGGGTATGTGGACATATTATCAGTTGCTGTTTTTTGCAACGCGAAATTGGCGCACGTAGGCGAATCCCGTGCGCCGAATATATGGCGAGTGTACTGATGAACTACCACATCGGAAGTGGTATCCTCCCGCCACAAAAAACGGAGCGAAATTTGATCGCGGGCAAGGACTCCTACCTGGAGGAACATACCCTCTATATCCGCGGAAACGGCGTACTTATGTTGACGGAATCGCAAAAGCACAAAAATTAAATTTTGGAGTAGGTCAGGACCCACCAATAAGGACTTATTTAAGGATGTGCCGTGAAACTTAGAAGCCCCATTAAGGACTCGGCGCACCTCACCCGGCTTATTCGGATTTACGACGGGATGGTGCGGAAGATACCACTCGCGATCGGAACGCTTACGTGGATCATGCGGTTCGACGGTAACGACATAGCCTTTCCTAATGTCCTCTCTAATTGTTTCTGCGTATCTTTCGCGCAGCTCAGGGTCTTTACTTAACCTTCTCTCCAATGATTTAAATTGGGCAAGTGACGAGTAATAATTATTTGAAAGACTGACATTACTATCAATCCAAAGCATAGGCACAACGTATCTTTCGCCATTGTGAACGGTTTCAGAATTTAGGATGGATAAAGCATGTTTATCCGCGGCGGAACGGGCATCGACCTGTTTGAAAGCACCATACGATTCCAACTCGTACCAGGATTTTATCTGGTCGGTCAGAGAAGAATCTTCAACAACACACTTGAAACACGAAGAAGTAGAATTACCGGACGGCGGCAACGGACCACTTAAGACCCAACCTATCGGTAGGCGAACGGAACACGGTGAGTTTTTATCATCTCCCAAGATGAACTCAATGGGTCTAACGGCGTGGTAGTAGTCTTGTCCGATAATAACTTCAACGTCCTCATAAGTATATTGAATGGGCTTAATAGGTGCTAATTGTGGATATTTATTCTGCAAATCAGCAATATTGATTAATTCGGAACCAATCCGAATATTGTCTTTAACATATGCACAGAGAGAAAATACGAAATCACTATTATTCGGCTCGGAGGAAACAGTAAACTTGACCCTCTGAGTCTCAACAACGGTGGTCGAATTGAAACCACTAATTGACAAGTTAACGGGCTCCCCTACTAAGCCGAGACGGTTTACGAGTGACGAAGACACCCAGGAGTGAGTCGATGCACTATCACAAAGAACCAACGTCAGGAGACTGGTTACATCCGAGGATACACCAAGTGTTGCAATTGGCAACAACCCTTTAGAAGATTCAATGTCAAGTACATCACTAACAGCGGCATGGGTGGAAGTGTTTGTATTCTCCTTGGATTTGTTTATTCCAGCCTTATTCGAGACATTTGAATTTTCCTTCCGAGGAAATATTCTTTCGGCTCCATGGAGCAAGACATTATGTGTGCTATCACACTCTGGCTTCGGGCACTTTTTTGCTCTAGAACATTGCCGGAAACTATGATTGCCATTGAGACAAGCGAAGCAAAGTTTCTGTTCAGCTACGTATTTTGCTCGCTGAGTAGCATTCTTTTCCTTAA